TAGCAAATACTCAAAAGTCTTCAAGATGTTGCTGAATGTAACCGAGGTTATAATCTCCTTAATAATCTATTTGGATGCTTCAATATATCACCTTCATAATTTTGTCCTGGGGATATGAGGGGAAGCTTCATTTTAGCTAGTTTTAGACAGCTACATCTGAGGAGGTCCTCTAAGGCACTTCCAGTGCCATTTGCCATGCTTCAGGCATTTAGATATGATAAACAATAACAAAGTGCCTGCTTATCTAACTCAGTATTAGTGGCTCAGATGTACTCAATGCAGCCCTACATTCCTGAAGCCTGAATTCAGCCATTACGAGTAAGATTCATCCATCTGACCTACCATCATTTCCATCAAGCTCATGCTTTCTTAATTAATTTACAAAAAAACCACATGAGACAATGTCAAAACCTTAACTAAAGTCCAAATACTGGACATCTACTGTTCTTTTCTTACCTACAAAATCTGATAGCCACTCCTAGAATGGAATTCGATTGCTTTAATATGTTTGCACTTGGCAACTCCATATTGCCTCTTATGTATTTCTTTTTTATTTTCTAGCTACTTTAAGTAGTTTATATGTTCATTGACTTTTCTGTGAATCGAAAATAGTTCCCCACATTCTCCTTCCTTTCCTCTTTTACAGATAAGTTCAATGTCATTCGTGTTTAGTCTTTTAGTACCTGATACCATCCTCCAAGAATTCTCACAGAAACCCACTAACAGTACTAAGTTTTTCAGCCAGCTATGTGACACAAATTGAAGTTCATTAAATAAGTTGCAAGATCCCTAACCTATGTAATCTGTTCCTTCCTTATCTACAGTTGAGGTTCTCCCTCTAGGATTAACTGCATGTCATATGTTCACTGAAGACCTCTTCAATAAACATGTGTAATAAAAAATCACTGTATGTTTTTGCCCTCTCTGCACTTACTCCAAGCAGGTTTTCCTTTCCTGCAGTACCTCTCTTAGGTGCTGAAGATTTCTTTGTTCCTCTATCTATTAATGTACTGATATATGCATGTTATATTAAATCTTAAATTTCTCTTGCTAGTTGCATCTCACTGAGTGCTTTGGCACTTCTGACTTTTCTCTACATGCATGTTATTCCACCACGCTTAGTAAAGAGAGGAATTTTCCTCATTATGCCTAAGTTGCAAGAAGAGATGAAAATTTAACTAAGCTGGTCTTTTACACTTTCTTTTCTTCCCATTGGTGAAGCTTATACTATGGTCTTTAGCAGAGTTCTGTTGAAAAGCCCACAGATTTCTCTTTAACTTGTACCCTAGAGATTTTTTTAAAATAAATTCTCTGAATTTTATTGACATCTACCTTTTTGAGCCTTTTTTTTTCTAGGCAGTAATGTAATTTCTTTCCCAATAAATAGCTGTGGCAAAATTTGACTCTTGTGAAGAAACAAATCAGCCATAATTTAAGTGCCAGGTGGTATAGATGTTTCCACATTAGCTTCAGTAGAACATCACTTGCCAGCAGCATCTTTCATTTCCTCTATTACCAAGAGGTTCTGTATTCCTTGGGCTAGTGTTTGGGGGGTTTTGTCTGTTATTGTTGAGATTGGTTCTTGCGTGTTTCCTGGTCAGTACTTTTTCTTTTGACTTCAGTGTTAAGTTATTCAGATGTTGAATGCTACATGCCCTCAGAGGACATCAACAGCCAGCTTTCTCTCTGTAGTTTTAAGTTTATTCCTCCAGTACCTGTACTGCTACCAACTGAAAAGTCTGCTTCAATTTGTTTTGTTTCTGAATGCATGCTGTGAAGTCCTCATCACCATACTCAGTTTTGAATCTCTTCTTTCAGTGCTCCTCTAATTGCTTCTTAAGAGATTTCCCTAGAAATCTAAGGGCAGTCTTTCCACATGTCACCAGTAGGAAAATATAGGCCAAAGATCTGGCAAATCCATTCAAGAATTTCATCACAAGATGTCATCATTGTCTAATTCTAAATATAGCTACTGAATCATGAGTATATGACACATTTCCTCTCAAATATTTTTTACTGAGAATGAGATATTATGTACAAGGAGCTCTTCATGATTGTGTTTGAATTTTATATACTTTTTATATACTTTTATACACTTTTGTTTTTACTGGCAGTTAAAAAACTAAAGTACAATATGAATTACAGGATTAAGCAAATACTAAAATGAAGCATTCCATCTGAAGCTACATTTGCTCTTCAGTATTATCAGAAATTCTGCTATTTGCTAAAAAGTTATTAGACAAGTGAAGTTTTCTGAACACTGTTAATAATCTAGATGTTTTCAGTTCAACACTAGAAGTCTCTTTGATTTATACACTCTGAACATTAAAAACATTAAGCTTTAGTGTATAATCTTTTTATACACGTATTCAAGGAAAAAATAACAAAACTCATATTTATATATAAACTGATGAATTATTTCAAAATTATATTACGTGATACCATACTACTTACTTTTATATTCGTAAGCATAGTCATAACATGAGCTAACAACTAAAGTCAAGTAAAAATCTATTCTTAAATATGTAAACATCAGTGTAATAAGGCTCTACTTGATTGGTTACTCCAGCCTCCAAACAGTGAGAAATGAAAATTCCTTACTTCCTCCTAGATAACCAATTACTTGATTATTACTTAGGTAATAAAAATAAGAATATACTTGAAGTATGAAATGTTTGATGTAATGCATGTTATGCATTTGATATGATAATAGTTCCCTTTGCTTTTCTGCCTAAACTGTGTTTGACTGAACCTGGAAACAGACAGAAGGAATGAAAAGTGGAAGACATACATGTGAAGCTGAATATAGTCAGGTCTACAGCAGAAAGACAGGTGTTTATTGCAATCTGCATGTAAGCAAAAGTATGAAATTTAAAGAAACAGTTGTATTTTGATTGATTGTAGCTTGATTTCTTAATTAAGACCAAAGTCAAATTATCATCCTAAACTAGCTAAAGGCCATTAAGGAGTTGACAGAAAAGAAAAAATGCTGGTCTTCAAAAAGCTTCACACTGAATAGAAAGTAAGCTGGGACTCAGTGTCCACTCTGGGAAAAGAAGTAGTGAAGCAAAGAACAGATCTGCCAGCTGAAACACCAAATGCCATGTTTGAATGCCAAGAAAAATAATGCATCCAGTAGAAGCCACAAAATGGCTGAAGATAAGAGCTGAGAGATATATTTTGATCTTTAAAAAGTAGAGAAAGAAAAGCAGTGGTCAGAGGAATGGAGAGAGTGGTATTCATACATCACTAAGTTATGCAACTTTGCATACACATACTGTTGTTTTTGTCTCCTTTTCATACCTCTTACTTGCTGTGCAACTTCTTAATGGATGCCTGATTTTACTTTTGGTGCCTGTGTACTACTGTGGTAAGCTGACCTTGGTTGGATGCCAGGTATCCACCAAGCTGTTCTATCACTGCCCTCAGCAGGACAGGGCAGGGGAGGAAATGAGATGGAAACCCCCTCCTTTTGGGTCAAGATAAAGGCAGTTTAATAAAGCAAAAGCAAAGGCCTATGTGAAACCAAAGGGAAACTATTTATGGTCTACTTCTCATCTACAGGTGATATCCAGCTCCTCCTCCTTTTTCTTAGCTTTTATTGCTGAGCAGACACTGTATGGTATGGAATATCCCTCTGCAGCTTGGGTCGCCTGTCCTGGCTATGTCCCCTCCCAAGATCTTGCCCACCCCCAGTCTACTGGTGAGGGAGGAATGTTGGAGAGGCAGCCTTGGTGCTGTGCAAGCACTGCTCAGCAGTAGCCAAACACTGGGGTGTTTTAAAGGTGAACACCTTTCTAGCTACCAAAGCAAAGCACAGCACTATGAGTGCTGCTGTGCAAAAATGAACTCCATCTCAAACCGACCCAATACAACTACCATGATAAAACATAATAAGCAACAAATCCTGAATTACTTATAATACATTCGGAAATTATTAACTATCTCCTAACCTAGAGTTCGTCTATGAATAATTCTACTTTCAAAACTTGTAAGTTTCAGAAACAAAGAACAGACTGCCAGTACATGTCTAGCACTTTTCATTATATTGCCCTTCATTATTTTTAGGAAAAAAACAATCTGAATCTGCTTGTTTTATCTGCAATTATATTTGTATACAAATCAGTTTTCTCTTTTACCTAGAGTCCCTTTTCACTGTACAAGTGAAAATAGCTGTGTCAATTCTATTTAATTGATGAGACACAGTTTCATCCTATATACATATAAAGTTCCATAAAATGGACAGTTGTTAAAATATATTCTTTTTCAAATTTTAAGCAATAAGGTACATAACCTCCTGCCCAATACATAAACCCAATGCAATCTTTAGCAGGGGAGTACAGGCGAGTTAACATTGCTTTGCCCCACGCTAAATTATTCAGACATTCAAGTAAGTTTTCTTTCCATGAGTTAGGGAGAAGATGTAGTAAAATGATTTCAAAATTCTTATCAGCACAGTTGCACAGGTTTATGCTGGCAGACCAACAGGCTAGGCATGACTTAGAGTTCTTAGAATCCACCATGGTAGGGAAGGTTTTTCTCATCACTGCTAACACCAGTCCCTGGCTGTCAGCAACATTTTCAGCCCTGTGCCAAATATTTCTTCGAAGCAGTATTAGATAATAAAATGTTTCAAAAAGTGTCAGCAGTTATTGGATTATATATACTCAGAGTCCCATCATTCCAAATAAAACCTCAGCTGAAAAAGACTGTAAAATATCCCCATAGAAGAAAGGCTTCAGTACAAAGACATTAATGGAGTATTTTTTCTGGAAGATTTCAAAACAACATCAATAACTCCATTATGCTATTTAAAGCAACAGCTCCAGGATACTGGGCCTAATGCATCTCTAACATTAAACAACATTGATTCTGTTCATGGTTATTCAAAATACCTACAAATGATTTCACCACAATGAGTTACTTACAAATGTCTTATCCACAGTTTCCCTATAGACAATCAAACCAAAATTAAACAATAGTTGGTTGTTTTTCCTTACTTGTAGTGTGATCACTCATCTCCCCCAGTCCAGTATTAATTCCAGCATCTATTGAACTCATGATTTTATCAATCTACAAAAGAGACAACAGTGAAAACAACTGATGGATCCCATCTTCATTATTTTATTTTAATTTTCATGCATCAATTTATGGCATTGTTACTCTCATTCAGAAAACAATAATCAAAATAGCAAAAAGCAAAAATCAAAGGTGAAAATTAATTTCTCCACTTTGATTTTTATTTTGCAATATTTTTATGCTAGCAAAAGCTAAAGCTTGGAACTAGTATTTCTTTTTCTACAGTAGAGTTCCTTTCATACTGATGCCATCTAGGTATTATCACTAGTGGTCTATTTAAGCAGTAATATTAATGAATAAAAATATTTTTTGTGTGTTCTTAAGTATTAAAGCAATTGTTCAAGTAAGATGTCCAGAGAATTTCCTAGCTCCCTTTTTTTCATCTGCCCCAAGGCTACTCAGTAGGTATGAAACATTGTTGTCCCTCCACACACTGCAGAATGATATTCTCTGTGAAACAGCACTGCATTGATCCCAAAACTTATTTACATGTTTTTAAAGCACATTGAACTTACTATGTCAAAACCATTTTACCTATTTTATTTTCTATAAGAACAGGACAGAACAAAAAGTGAATCAAAACGCTGGTGTGGACTAAGAAGGCAGACACAGAGAAGCATATTTTACTAAGCTTAATATTAGGACTAGTAGAAAAAGTATGTATTAGTCACTGGTGACAGGAGACAATCTAGCACTTATGACAGAATCTGCAGATTGGGAATCCATACCTTTTTTTAATATATATGAACTGCATTCTTTTACTCTTAAGAACAATCGAACCTTGATGCTCCCCTAGAGAGGTAAACTTGGAACTGACTCTAATTTTTTAGAGGACAGGATTTTATAATAATGTAACAAAGTTATAAAGATTGAAACCTGATCCTTAGTGTATTTCCACTGAGAAACTGTCTCCTTTAAAACAGAAACTACCTTTAGATGCCCTATCAAATTAGACATCTAGATGAGCTGAAAACCTAGACATCTAGATGAGCTGAAAACCTTTTTCTAGAAAAATAACCAATCACATAATCAACCTCTGTGTTCTTTCTGAATGAAAAAGCACCCTGGAGATAGATACTTTTCCCCTGTGCAGTTGTTTTAAAGAGAAATGCTCACTTCTCTGTAGGGGCACGAAAGATATTTTACCCTCTTAATTCACTCCAATGCGATGGGAACTTCTGTGTTTATGAAGAACCTTTTACATTCTTGAAATTCAGCACAGGAGAAAAAAAGCTAAACATAAGGTGCCTAAGAATTATTTTAAATTGAGTTCTAAACCTAAAATAAAGTCTCTCATATGAGCAAGCATGTGCATTACAAATTCAGTGTGGACATTTATGTTTATGTGGACATAGTCCCGAATTTATTGCAGCTATAAGTGTATTCCCACTTCACACAAGTCAGGTATGTGCCAAGCATTTTGTACACAGGCTACATACCAGTTAGAGGATATGATATACAGGGAGGGTTTGTAGAATGTAATTCTCTATTCCCGCCATTTTTTCCTCTCTCTTGCTGGCAGACACAGCCATGGTGGGAAATAATTAGCAAATATGTAAATAATGGGCATAGTTACAAAGGATTTTACCAATTTTATTAGTGTCAGTGGTGAGGGCTTTAGTAGACAATAATTTCAATGCCACAACAAATTACAGAATTACTTCTGGTTAACTTCATTCACTATGGAAACAATAGACTTTATTGAGTGGGCAGCATTGGAATAGAAATGCTTTGCATTTTGTGCCAGCTGTTGAACTACCCTGCATTACACTGTGACATTCCCTTTGAAGATTTGCAGTGTGAAAGATTCACTTTTTATTTCATCTCTGAAACTGAAAACAATAACAGCATCTTCACAAGACCATTTGCTAGTACTTAAAAAATGAACAAAACTTACTTCTTCCCATTCTGATGTGAAAGAAGGTGTTCTCTCTGAATTCCCTTTGGAGCACTGTTGATTTGGTGTGGGTTCACTCCAATTGCTTCTTGCTTTTTTGTCATTTGGTGGACGGGTGATAAGATTAGAATCAGATTTAGAAACATTTTTGCACAGATGCATTTCAAGCAAAGTCTTCGGTAAGGATCGTATTCTCCCAAGTGTGCATGCTCGCTCCACAAATCCCCCAGTGCTAATATCCCATTGTTCACTTATCCTTGGGGCACCAACCAGTGTATGATTTTCTACTGGTTTATTTTTAGTATGAAATATGGTTCTGTTTACAATTGGTGGTTTTTTTTTCTTAACAGGAGGATCAGAGCTGCTTTCTTTTCGTAGCTGTATCTGCTGCACTGTGCTCTTGCTCAAAATGCTTTTCTCTAGCGGACCACTGCACAGGTTTACTTTGCTGTACAGCTGGAGTGGATTTTCAGGTGGGTCACATGCAGGTGATGATCCATGAAGTAAACCTGCAAACTGCTCAGCGGGGTGTCCTTCTGGAAACTCACTTTCAGTGGATGTTTCACGCTGGCAAAGTTGCTCTGAAACGAGAGAGTACATTGTAAAGAAGAACAGGATGATAAAATACTGCAAACCACAAAACCTTTACTCTCCTCAACATTACTTTTGTATGCTGCTTGGTTCTTATGTAAAGAAACAAAAGATAAATATGCAACGAACTGATTTATTAGTTTCTTTAAAAAAAAAATAAATCTCTCCTTAAACTCGACTATTTTACCCTGACTGGTTGAAGAACAACAAACAATGCTCAGTGCTACACATAAATTCCATGAAAAAACAAATTTATAAAATAGGCCATTGTTATTGCATCATCATAATGGTGTCTCTTTTAATTTGTTATTGAGTTGAAATGTGTAAAAATTATATATACAGTTATTATATACAGTTTCGTATGATGAATTAGGTAGTTATTTTGTAGGTGGTAAAATACATGAAGAACCAGTATTGCCAGAAGCATTTTTAGTAATTTTTCATTTTATAGTCATTATAATAATAGTGAATTTACACTATGATGCTTTTTTACTGACAGTTGTTAAAGAATAGATCTGAGTGTTCTTTTTATTTCTAGGAACTTCTGAGACTAGTAATAGCAACCATTGGGAAAAAAGAATATAAAAACTAGTTTTTTGAAACAAGCTTTATATGTAATTTAGAAGATATAGACACAAAAAGGAACTACAGAAAAATGCACTTTTTGGTACACTTCAGAGTCAATTATTAAAAGTTTATAACTATTTTTTATGCCTGCTGCTGTAAGAAGTAGGAGGCTAAAAAAAAAGACTTGTTCTACCTATGCTGCCTCATAGAAAATGTTGGTGTGGTTAACATCACTTTATCCACATAGCATTAAGTTAGTAAATTTTACTCAGAATAACTGTGTCCCCGCTAATGGTCACATCTCTATAACTACTTAATTAAAGATAAATACATTCATCTCATTCTTGCTAGAAGTTTTATGTTCATATATAGACTCCAAGTGTAGGACTATATGCACAGCAGTAGCTACCAGAAGAAATGAAACATAAATCATGTCATAATTTGCAAAGAAATTGAGCAGTTTTCTCCTATTAGCTAAAATATCTGCTTGCAATAAAACCCACAACTAAATCTCAAAATATGACTTCTAAAAGAAAGCAGTGTTCTATTTGCTTCAGTGTTTTGTTTTTCTTCAAAACATCATCAACTCTTTTACTAGTCAGCAGCGTAAAAAAATAAAATTAAATGTTTTTATTATTTGTTAAAATATCATGATAAAATTCTAATCAAGCTTAAGAGTGCAACCTAAGAAAATACACTTTTCTTCTTTGGGAAACAACTGACTAGAATACACACTTCAGACATTTTGCAACTAAAAAGATGTGAGCTGTTATGGAGAAAGGTTAAATGTAGGACATGACACAGCTTAAGGGACCAATAAATGCAGAAAAAGTTGGTTTGGTGGAAAAAAGCAGGAGAAAAGGAGGACAAGCATTCTCACTTTCTTTGATTTCTGAAAGTTGCTCGATTATATGTATGTCTGCAATTTTGAAGGTGAATTTAAAATAAGAAATAAATGATGCAAATAATTATTGGCTTTAGTGGTTTTCCTTTTAATAAAAAACTCAGTAGATGAGATTCTATTCCAGATTAAGACATCTCATTTTACATATCCACATGGGTAAGAAGTATGTGAGCTTCCACCACAGTCAGAGATCAGACAGATAAAATCAATGGATCTTATAACTCCTTGCACTCTAAACTGTGTTAACTAGACTGCCAATGACTATTACGGGAGACAGCATCCATTTTGTGTTCAGATGCCTACATTTAGATATCTCATTCATGAGCTGAATCCCATTCTGGTGTTCCAGAGATGTGTCTTATAGCTGTGTATTCAACTCATTTAAGATATAAATGTTTTTGTCAGGGCAAAGTAAATCAGGAAGAATAAATCAGAAGAGAGAAAAGCTTACAGACCTGGACTGCAAGAATTTCACTAATATCTACATTAACTTCACTAATATCTTTGCTACATCTATACTACTAAATAATACTGGTCAACAGCTACTATTAGGATCTAAAGGAATTACTAGATTCATGCCCTTTAGCTTAAACTCTTCTGCTTCTCAAGACAGAGCTGGCCCATCCAAACAATTACTGGGAATGGTCTCTGGCCTCAGCTAAAACTTGCACTTTGTTTGGATACTCTCTAGGTGGGTACTCAGTATTGGCCAAACCCTGCAAAAACCCAAACAATTTAACAGTACAGACTGCCAAGAACCAATGTCATCTCATGCCCTGATTTTGTTCAATTTACTACTGTAAACAAAATAAGTTCTTACTGAGAACTCTCATTCCTCTGTGGTCAGTAAGTATATGTAGTGACCACTAGAAAGTGTGTGTGTGTATGTCTTACTTTCTAGCAGTGATGCAGTGACAGCATATCAAAACGTTACTTCTGGTTGTTTTGTTAGTCAAAGTGGCAGCAGTTTACAATGTATTCAAAGACTCCAACTATATTGTATGAGCCTTTTTCAGTTTGTTCTTTCACTACAGTTATGGCATTGTGTACATATAAGTATATACATAATCTACTCTAGGTACAGCTTTCATCTTTAAAATACCCAGACAAATACTTCAGTGAAGTTAGGAAAGATTAAAACAAAGGTTGCGTGTGCAACCATTAATCTTCTCATGTGTTAGCAAGCACTGTATTTCACTTTTTATATGATCACTACTAGCTTTCAAAAACACCCTGCCTGTTTCACTTAGTGTTCAGAATGAAGTCTGCTTAGTGAAAAAGCAGCTCCTCAATATTTTCGTAGTATCATAGAACTGTTTAGGTTGGAAAAGACCCCTAAGATCAAGTTCAACTGTTACTCTACCACTGCTAAGTCCACCACAAAACCAAGTCACAGAACTATAGAATCATAAAATCAACTGGATTGGAAAAGACCTCTGAGACCATCAAGTCCAACCCTTGATCCAACACCGCCGTGGTTACTAGACCATGGCACTAAGTGACACATTCAGTCTCATCTTAAAAACCTCCAGGGACTGTGAATTCACCACCTCCCTGGGCAGCCCATTCCAGTGTCTGATTACTCTCTCTGTAAAAAATTTCCTCCTAATATCCAACCTAAACCTCCCCTGGCACAGCTTAAGACTGTGCCCTCTTGCCCTACTGCTGGTTGCCTGGGAGAAGAGACCGACCTCTACCTGGTTCCAACCTCCTTTCAGGGAGTTGTAGAGAGTGATGAGGTCTCCCCTGAGCCTCTTCTTCTCCAGGCTAAACAACCCCAGTTCCCTCAGCCTCTCCTCATAGGACTTGTGTTCAAGTCCCTTCATCAGCCTCGCTGCTCTTCTCTGGACCTGCTCCAGCACCTCAATATCCTTCCTGAACTGAGGGCCCCACAACTGCACACCAAGTCCCTAAGTGTCACATCTTAACATCTTTTAAGTACCCCCAGGGATTTATATTCTTTTTTTAAAGAGGAGTGGTCCTAATACCTACTTACTGCACAGCCTATAAATTCTTCCCTGTACATCAAGCTATTCAATAGCTCCTCAATTTTTTAATGATGTCCATTATCTAAAGGGTTCACAAACATGAACTCATGTATCTTTTTAGGGTGAGGTTATAATAGGATAATATACTAATTTGATAAACAGGAGATAAGGCACAAGGATATAATGCTGAAAACGTACAAGAGTTTGGGCATCCAATTTGAAATTGCATTTGAAAAAGCCCAGTTGCAACTGACTTCAGTAGCTCAAACAAATCAGACCCCTAGTGTGTCAAAGTCAGCACTCAAAAAAACAAGGAACACTGTTAATGACTACTTGGATAAACTTTGGTCTGTCTTGATCAGTGTAACAAAAGCTCTGGCAGAGTATTCTCTCTGTGGTGTTCAGCTGACTCTGCTGTCGGTTCTTCTCTTTGGTAATTTTTGCTTTCAATAAGAGCTTTCTTAATTATGAGACAAAGTATGCGAAGATCTCATAGTTATGCCTTCTTCACCCCATGATTTTGAGCAATGCAAACAACATCTATATCGAGCAACAAAAAAGACTGGGATCGCCAGGAAAAAGACATCATGTGGTCATGATAAAGGTTAAGAAGCAAGCAGCATTGCATGCTGCACTGCAGCCCTAGAACAGGTTATCCAGAGTGGTGGCACCTCCACATCTGGAGGGTTTAAAGACCTGTCTAGGAAAGACATGTCTGATCTCATGACGACAGTCCTGCTCAAAACAGGAGGATGGACTAGATGACCTCTGGATGTGCCTTCCAACCAACACTTTCATGATGCAATTACAACTCTGAATATTTTGAATTAACAACTGTTAAATCTAGTGCTCTTTAAATATAGACTTGTATTATTATTTTAGCTTCTTGATGCAGTTAATGCTTAATATTTTTATGTTCAGGAAATAAGGAAAGCACAGAGATGGACAATACCACTGATCTAAGTAGTATATTAGCCTACCACTCACTATAATGTTCTACAGAAATCATAGAAGGAAAAAAATAAACCCCTCAATAGATAACCATAAAATAATTTCCCAGAGTATGCTTTTCTTTCTTATTCCAAGTCAGCATTTCTTGACCTAAGACCTGAAAAATAAGATATTTAATAACCTCTCCAAACTGCACCGTTATCTAAAACTAAAACTATGTGTCTTCATTGCTCATGTGAATATCAAAGATCTCAGTCTCAAGAACTAAGGTCCCCTGGTAAAATGTTTTTGCAGGTGCCGGAGTCCATCAGTGCTGGTCACTTTTCAAACATCACCTCCTAAGGGCACAGGAGCAGGTAATCCACAAAAAGTCAAGCAGGTGAGGCAGAAGGCCGGCTTGGCTGAGCAGGGATCTTCTCTTGAAAATAAGGAAGAAAAGGAAGGTGTATGCCCAGTGGAAGCAAGGTCAAGTGACATAGGAGGAATTTACAGATGTTGCCTGCTGCTGTAGGAAGAAATGATCAACTCCCAATCAACCCCGAACTTGTGCAGGATCTGCCGCTCCAGTTGGATCCCTACA